GTGAAAAAGAAAAGATATAGAGAGAATTTCCCTTTATATGGAAAGATAGAGAAATAAAGTACCTGGGAGTAAAACTCACTCCTTCACAGAAAAACCTTTATAAAGCTAATTATATCCCATTGCTAAACGAGATTAGGGAGGAATTGAAGAAAATTGGTGGAGGAAACCCTTCCTGGCTAAGTCGCGTTAACTTGATAAAAATGGTAATTGTCCCTAAGATACTATATAAATTCCAGATGATTCCCATTAATCTTCCAGAGGTGTATTTTAGGACAATTAAGCAAATGGTAACAAAATATATATGGAAAAATAAAAAACCTAGGATATCATATGAAGTGCTAAGTAGAAACAAAGAAAAGGGGGGGTTGGGAGTACGGATTTTAAAAGATACCACAGGGCAGTTATCTTAGCAAGAATTTTTGATTGGACGCACAACTCAAAGAGTAAACATTGGGTCACAATAGAAAATACACTTAGTAGAAAGGATTTGAGTAGGAGTGTTTGGGTGCCAGCACAGTTTAGAGAATTAGAGGTAGAGCACGAGTATATACACGAGGATTGTAATAAGAGAATGGGATAAAATGCACAAACAGAGGAAATGGGATTTTAATTCATTGCTAATGCCACTAAAAAATTCAGAGTTTTTTCCCCCAGGCAAAGAGGAAATTACAGGCAGATGGATTAAGAAGGAAGATGCTCAGTTGAGAGACGTAATGGAGGGGGTAAATTTAAGAACACTGGAGGATTTGAAAAGGGAAGAGGGAAAGATTTTCACTAAGATAGATATATGGAGGTATAATCAACTGAAACAATTTGTGGAGAAATTGACGAAGCCCCTTAGAACCAGGAAAGATTGGAATGTATTTGAGAAATACTTAGAAGTTCGAGGTGATGGGAAGCACAGCACTGCTAAAGCATATAAAGCTCTCACTGATTTAGATAGTAAGGTAAAACTAAAGTATATAGAAAAATGGGAAAGGGATTTAGGAGTGGAGTGGGAAGAGCACACACAGAGAAAAATATATAGAATGGAATGGTACACGAAAATATAAGTATGCGTGAGGTGGAAATGAACTTCAAATGTTTGACAAGGTGGTATGTTACACCGATGATAGAGCACAAGATGAGTGGGGAGAAATAACCTTGGTGTTGGCGAGGGTGTGGAGGGTTGGGCACGATGTACCACATATGGTGGGAATGTTTAAAAATACAAGTATATTGGAAAAAAGTTATAAATCAAATTAGGATTATCACCGGAATGGAGATCGGACTGGACCCTGAAACCTGTCTTTTTCATAATTCAATAATATCTGGAAATAAATATAAAGAACTGGGTATATGGTGCTACCTAAATGCAGCAAAAAGTTTGATTCCTAGGTTTTGGCGCAAAGTTGAGGCACCGAGGGAAGAGGATTGGATGAATAGAGTGGACCAGATTGCTAGATTGGAAAAACTTTATTATATACAGGAAGATAGGATGGCGGCATATCATATGAAATGGGAGGAGTTTAAGGTAAAGGTAAAAGAAGGTACTGAGTAAGTAAGCGTAAAGAAAAGGGAAAGAGAGAACGAGAAGAGAGGAAGGGAAAAGGGGAAAGGAAAAGGAAAAGGAGAAAATATAGTAATTTGCCTTTCTTTCTTTCTTCCAAATCTTGGTATCCAGAGGATGTGAGATATAAGTCGATCAGATAGATGTCAGGAATTAAAGAAGCGGGGTGGGGGTGGTGGGTGGGTTGAAAGGAAGGGAGTTATGGGGAGAAAAGGATACGAAATAAGTGTTTTACGAGATTCTGCTATGTTGTATTTTCCATTGTGGAAAGGTGTATTGTTCTATTTGAAAATGAATAAATATTTAAATAAAAAAAAAAAACCCACAACAGTACCATCAGTCTGTATATGCAGTAAAGTATGCTTGTTATACTCACAGTGGAACCTAAGGGGTTAATCCTCCGCATTGTGTAAAACGGATGTTTGATCCTGTCTTCTCTGATCCTCCCCTTCTTTCACAGTCCCCAATCTATCTGCTGATGGTACAGGGCCCTAGGAGTCACTCTGTACATGCTCAGTTTAATGTGTGTTGCTGGAGAGTTTCTTTTTTTTGGAGGGCGCTTGTGATCAGCACAGGGCCAATCAGCGCTGTCCAGACAGAGGATCAAGGGTCATGCAGCCTCATAGGACAGTCAGAGGAGCATGAAAACTCCTTTTACAAGCTTTAAGCAGTGCTTGGCCAGACACTGATAGAAGTCATAAGGCTGCTAAATACTGCCAATGAGAAAAGGTGTTTAGCAATTTATAGTTACTAAAATAATTGCATTTGTTGTGTGTACTGTGGGAGACCAGATATAGTAATCCAGGGTCCTGGGTTTAGTAACACTTTGATGCAAGGAATGCATTAAGGTAAAAAATGGTTGGGCTTTATAACCACTTTAAGAATAGTCTGTACAACAGAGCTCCAGTTAGGAGCTTTAGGAGATTTCCTCTAACTTCCTGTTGTATCTCTGGGACAGGAAATCAGAGGAAATCTCACCAATGGTACACAGACAGCAAAAAAAAAAAAAACCCAGCAGAGGGTTTAGCCCTTCTCTATTCTATCTAAAACAAAAAAGGACTTTTCTTCAAGAGTTCCTACATGTGGCAATGATGGAAGCCTGCCTTCAGCTGCTAATTGAAAAGTGAATAACTTGGAATGGATTGGTTTATACAAGGCTTCTATAATTTCCCAATTTAATCCCATAACGACACAGTGACATGTATATGCGGCATCTGGGAGTTGGGCTTGAAGCCTGGGTGGTGCATATATATATTCTTGTGTTTGTGCATGGAGCGCTCCCCACACCACACTTTTACAACAGAGACTGGGCCCTCCCCGACAGCCCTAGTCTTGTACTAATGATCGGGACCCAGGACTCCTGGTTCCCCGGTCACCTGATTGCTCTGACTGGCTCAGTGATCAGTCAAAGTGCAGCCCACCTGTGTTTACTTTCTCTTCTAAATGGAGAGAAAGATATATTTTATTTTCCTCCCCTTGCAGGGGATAAAGATGTGAACAAACAAAAGTTTGTAACAAAAAAAAAAATAAAAAAAATAAAGAAAATAGCTAGATTAACCACTTGCCCTCCTGAGGCTTTACCCCCTTCATGACCAGGCCATTTTTTGCATTACTTTAACCACTTCAATACCGGGCACTTTTACCCCCTTCCTGCCCAGGCCATTTTTCAGGTTTCAGCGCTCTCACACTTTGAATGACAATTGCGCGGTCATACAACATTGTACCCAAACTAAAATTTTATCATTTTCTTCACACAACTAGAGATTTCTTTCGGTGGTATTTAATCACCACTGGGGTTTTTATTTTTTGCTAAATTAACAAAAAATTACTGAAAATTTTGAAAAACAACACGTTTTTCTTTGTTTCTGTTATAAAGGTTTGCAAATAAATAATTGTTTCTTTATAAATTCAGGCCAAGATGTATTCTGCTACATGTCTTTGGTGAAAATAACCCAAATTAGGATGTATTTTTTAGTTTGTAGAAAAATTATAGAGTTCACAAACTATGGGATATATCTGAGTATTGATCAATCCTGAAGTACTGACAGCCAATCTAATTTCTTGAGGTCCAAGAATGTCAGAACAGTACAGATATCCCCCAAATGACCCCTTTTTGCAAAGTAGACAGTCCGACGTATTTCATAAGAGGCATGGCGAGTTTTTTGAAGTTGTATTTTTTTTGTCATTAAATTATTCATTTTCATTTTTTTTTTTTTTACATACGGTCACCAATGCAGTACAGCGTCATCATATATAACTGGCATGGCGGTGATCAGAGACACTGACTGGTGACAGTATGGAAAAAAAATATATATTTAAATTTTTTTTTAATTTTAAATTTTTATTATTTTTTTTTTTTTTTTTAAGATTTTGTTATCATATTTCCCTATGACCAACGTAGTACAATGTTACCATAGCAATTTTGTACTACTTTGGGGAAGTGATCAGTATTTTTTTTTTTTTTTTTTACACAATTTGCTTATAGCAAAGAATTACTTTGCTAAAAGCAAGCATTTATCTGAATGACATTGATTCATTCAGGGTTTTTTTTTTTTTTGTCCTTAGTTGTGATTTGGCCACAGCTAATCACATCGCACAGCTGGGCTGTGATTGGCACATCTTGTCCATGTGATCGCTGTGACCATTCACAGCTAGACACACTAGTATACTATGGATGGCATGAATGAAGCCACCCATTGTATACAACTGTCATTGTATTGGTCACAGCAGGTCACATGGTACCGGCAACGGGGCTGGTACTCAGATCTGATATCAGCCATGTCCGAGGTACACAGCCGGTGACAGATCACACCGCTGCGCGGCTCTGCAGGCACGCAAGCTGTGCATGCCATAGGCCGGGCGGGAAGAGGTTAACTGACACTTGCGCGGTCATGCAACGCTGCACCCAAATGAGATTTACGTCCTTTTTTTCCGACAAATTGAGCTTTGTTTTGTTTTGTTTTTTATTTTTTGCGCTATAAGCAAAAAAAGACCGACAATTTTGAGAAAAAAAAAAACAATATTTTGGACTTTTTGCTATTAAACATGTCAAGTAAAAAAAATTAAAAAAATCTAATTTCGTTATAAATTTAGGCCAAAATGTATTCTATCGAAAAATGCTGCGCTACATAAACCAATAGTACAAACTATATTACCAAAAACAAAGTGAAAAAATAAATCAAGAATTATTAGAAGAAAAATAGTAGTAGAAAAAATATTAATATTGAAATAGAAATATAGATATATGAATATATATATATATATATATATATATATATATATATATATATATATATATAGATAGATAGATAAAATAACTAGAGATGAGCGAATTATTCAAAAATTCGGTTCGGCTGATTCGCCGAATTCGACGATTAAATTCGCTTCGTGTCGAATATATTCGCTGCGAATTTAACTTATAAAAAGGGTGTTTCTAGGCTTCAGAGAGCCTTTATATTAGTGCAGAACACTGTACCTTTAATTTAAATGCCCTTGGAGTCTGCTGGGGAAGAGAAATAATACTGTCAGTCAGTATGACATGCAGATGAGTGCCGTCGATCTTAGAATCACCGCACACTTCACTCATTTGGGCAGTCACGGGGCCAAAACCAGAGTGTGGAGCCACAGTGTGGCGGTGGAGGCAGCAGCAATGGGAGGCCATACAGCACCCTATGACAAAATGGAACCACCACCAGCAGTGTGAGGAGACCTGAAAGTGGCACATGGCAGAGTGTGGCGATGGAGACAGCAGCAATGGGAGGCCGTACAGGGACCCATGACACACTCTGGACCTGGCAGCAGCATGAGGAGGCGGTACAGGGGCCCATGACAGATTACGGGCCTGGCAGCAGCATGAGGAGGCGGTACAGGGGGCCCATGGCAGAGTGGCGGAGCGTAAGCAGCTAAAATTGAAAGGCCATACAGAGGCCTATGTTAAAAAGTCCCCCCAGCAGCAGCGTGGGGAGACGACTATCAAGAGTCCAATGGCAGAGTGGCGGAGCAGAAGCAGCTTCAATTGAAGGCCATACACAGGCCTAGGTTAAAAAGCGGAAGCCGTCAGCAGCGTGAGCAGACGACAGAGACACATGGCGCAGGGTGGCGGTGGATGCAGCAGTATTCGGAAGCCAAACACAGGCCTCGGTTAAAAAGCGGAAGCCGTCAGCAGCGTGAGCAGACGACAGAGGCACATGGCGCAGGGTGGCGGTGGAGGCAGCAGCAATGGAAGGCCATACAGCACCCTATCACAAAATGGAACCCACCAACAGTGTAAGGAGACCTGAAAGTGGCACATGGCGCAGGGTGGCGGTGGAGGCAGCAGTATTCGGAAGACATACACAGGACTAGTTTAAAAAGCGGAAGCCGTCAGCAGCGTGAGCAGACGACAGAGGCACATGGCGCAGGGTGGCGGTGGAGGCAGCAGTATTCGGAAGCCATACACAGGCCTAGGTTAAAAAGCGGAAGCCATCAGCAGCGTGAGCAGACGACAGAGACACATGGCGCAGGGTGGCGGTGGATGCAGCAGTATTCGGAAGCCAAACACAGGCCTCGCTTAAAAAGTGGAAGCCGTCAGCAGCGTGAGCAGACGACAGAGACACATGGCGCAGGGTGGCGGTGGATGCAGCAGTATTCGGAAGCCAAACACAGGCCTCAGTTAAAAAGCGGAAGCCGTCAGCAGCGTGAGCAGGCGACAGAGGCACATGGCGCAGGGTGGCGGTGGAGGCAGCAGTATTCGGAAGCCATACACAGGCCTAGGTTTAAAACTGGAACCAGCAGCGTGAGCAGACGACAAAGACACACATGGCAGAGGATGGATCTGGGCAGCAGTATGAGAAGGCGGTACAGGGGCCCGTGGCACAGTGTGGTGATGGAGGCTACAGCAACTGGATGCCAGAAAGTGGCCGATAGGGCTATATACTGCATTGAATTATAAAGTTGTAAAGACAGCGGCCTATAAGGCTATACACACTATAACAATCATGACTTGATTGACCATTGGCCTATAAGGCTATACACAGCATGAATATCATGACTTATTCTGAGAGTGGTTTGGAAGGCTATATACAAAAAGTAATTCATGAGCTGTCCGGACAGCGGACAATAAGTACATATATACAAATCAATTCATCAGCTGTCCAGCCAGCGGCCTCAAAGGCGACACATATAGAAAGCAATTCATGAGCTGTTCAGGACAATAAGACAGCGGCCTCTAGGCGACAGATATACAAAGCAATTCCCGAGGTGTTCGGGGAGCGGCCTGAACGGCTAGGTTATTAGGTCAGTTGTGTCAGGAACTGGTGGTTTGAAATCCAGACTAATCCACGCCTGATTCATTTTTACAAAACGTGAGTCTCTCCACACTTTGGGTGGACAGTCGTGTCCTCGCGGAGTTACAATACCTTCTGCCGCACTAAACACGCGCTCCAATGCCACGCTACTGGCCGGGCATGACAGCCTTTCAAGGGCAAATTCAGCTAGTTGGGGCCAAAGGTCAAGTTTCGTTGCCCAGTAGTCAAGGGGATTGTCTACCTCGGTTGGCAGGGTGCTGTCCAAGTAGGACCAAGCCTGTTGTTTGAAGTCCTGCTCCAGGTCCACCTGATGCTGCTGCTGCCTGCGGCTGGTTAGTAGTTTCCTCACTGCGCTGGTGAAGAAAGCTACTCATCATCGACTGCAGACTGAGGCAGCCGCTGCTGGTGGAGCTGCCACTGCTCCTACCACCCCACCCCTCCCCTGCTGCCATGGCAGCGGAACGCGAGCGCACAGGGCCCACAGTGTCTGAGGATGGACGTTGGCGCAGAAAGGCAGAGACCAACTGACTACATAGGTGGTTTTTATAGTACTTTATTTTGGCCTCCCTATCAGCAGGTGTGAAAAAAGGCCACCATTTTTGAACGGTAGCGAGGGTCCAACAAGGTGGACAGCCAAAAGTCATCCCTCTGTCTGATGGTTATTATTCGGCTGTCGCTACGCAAGCAAGCGAGCATGCTATGGGCCATTTGTGCCAAGGAATGCGAGGGACTCCCTGCCTCCATCTCCACAGCATACTGCCACGGGTGCGTCTGGGTCCTCTGTCTCCTCCTCCTCCTCTACCAGATGCTCCTACTCCTCCACTCCTGTCCGCTGAGTGGAAAAAACCACCCATTTCACTCAATAATTCCTGAGCACCAAATGTCTTCCTCTACCTCCTCCTCTTCTTCCTGTCCTGCCCCCACAGGGGTCATGTGGCGTTGAGATCTGTGCGCCACGTCTACCGCACCCTGACCAGCCATTGTTAACAGCATTTGTTCCAGGACGTGCAACAGAGGAATGACGTCGTTCATCCCATAGTCCTGCCGACTCACGAATAGCGTGGCCTCCTCAAAGGGCCTGAGCAAGCGGCAGGTGTCACGCATGAGCTGCCAATGGCTGACATCTAAGTTACACAGGGGAGTACCTTTATCGCTTGTAACATCAGGAAATCGGTGATGGCTTTCGCTGTTCGTAAAGGCGAGGTCTAACATATGTAGGGTTGAATTCCACCTTGTTGCAACGTCGCAGATCAGGCGATGCTGTGGAATTCCGTTCTGCGTGCAGCTCAAGGAGGGTGTGCTTTGCGGTGTAGGAATGGCTGAAATGCATGCAAAGTTTACGTGACATTTTAAGGATGTCTTGCAGTGGGATGGTGGATTTTAGGAAACGCTTGACAACCAGATTGAACACGGTGAGCATGCATGGCGCATGGCACAACCTTCCTTGACGCAGAGCAGACACCATGTTCTTTCCGTTGTCGGTCAACATGGTTCCGATTTTCAGTTTGCGCGGAGACAGCCATCTGTGATTTCTCTGTTCATTACATGAGAAGTGCCTCCCTGTTTGACTACGTTCGCCAAGGCATTACCAGGTGCAGCACAGCGTGACACCGTTGCGCCCTGCACATGTGATATGCGGTCGGGGTAATGGACTTGGCACGGGGGTGGCGGTGGCGGCTGAGGACAAAGGCGGAAGAAGAGGTGGTAGTGAGAGGCGGACATCTTTGCTGGACCAAGGACGTGCAAACGTGGAGGGCAAAAGCGGCGTGACCCTGTCCAAGTTGCTGGTGCAGGCTGTGCCGGCACCATGTTCACCCAGTGGTGGCCGTAAATGACAATGTACTGTCCTGACCGTAGTTACAGCTCCACACGTCGGCGCTGCCAGTGCACTTTGGCAGAGACCAGACATGCTCAAAGGACTGGCCCACCATCTCCTTCTACATGTGAATGCAGGGCTGGCACTGCCTTTTTGGCCGAAGAAATGCCGGCTGGCACTCTCCACCGCGGCTCGGCACAAAGCCATCATTTCTC